CGCCTTTATTCATCACAAAGTGCCAACACTCCATAGTTATCTCAAGCTCAGCTGCTGGGGTGATGCTAGGGCAGTTGAGCTCATGTGGCTGCTGGGGTCTAGGAGCGTGGTCTAGGAGCTGGTACTCTGTGAAGAGATGTGAGAAGAGAACAGGAGCTGAGGCGGGGCCAGGCTTGCCCAAGTGGCAGAAGCTGCTGCAGCTTTGGTCCATGAGCAGGAAGACCTGGTCCCTGTGAAAGGCTAGAGTTTGGGGCAGAGAGGTTGAAAAGATAGATCTGGACAACTGAAACCGTGACAGACTGAAGAGTATAAAGGCAGCCAACATCTTCTGTTCAGACTGAAGAGAATTTCTAGAATAAGGCATGGAAAACAGGATAGAAGTGAATACCCAAACAAACCCACACTCTCACAAGGATGTGTGGGCATTACATAAAATCACAGTGGGTGTGAATGCAGTTTAAGAACATGCTCAAAGCATGCAACTGCAATAGATATGACTAACTCCCTCTGAAGAAAATCCTGGCTGGGCGTGGCACCTCATGCCTGTAATTCTAGCTACTTGAGAGGCTGGCGCAGGTGAACTTCAAGTTCATGGCCGGATGAGGCAATTTAATCAGACCCTGTCTCAAAAAAAGTTTATTTTAAAAACGTCTAAGGCATAGATCAGTGGAAAAGAATCTCTCAGTTCAATCCTTAGTATTGTAAACAAAACCCCAAAAAACTTTATATCAATAAATATGTGCAATTATATATTAACAGAAATTTTATAACAGAAAATAGTCAAAAATCTAAGCAGTTTCCAGCTGTTTCACATGTAAAGAACATTAAAATTTTAACTCTACAAACCTAGTTTTTCTTTCAAAACAGATTAATATTACCATGTATGTATGACAGAGAGTCTCTTATCTGCAGTGCTTGTGACCTGAAGTGTTTCAGACTTGGGAATATTTGCATGTACACACTGAGATATCTGGGGATAAGACACAAGACTACATATAAAATTTCTTTCTATTTCATATACACATTTTACAGGTAGCCTAAAGGCTATTGTATACACTACTTTGAGTACTGTGGGGGTTTGCTACCTGTCACATGAGTTCAGATACAGAACTTTTCACTTGTGTCATATTGTTAGCTTTTGAAAAGTTTCAGATTTTAAAAAATATTCTGCAGCTCATATGTTCAAATTAGGGATGCTCAACCTGTATTACCATTGGTTTAAGTTTTGTTTCATGCAAGAAAAACATAATAAAATACAGAAATTACACCAATTCAAAATTACACCCTATTTTAGAAATTGAGTGTCTTTAGATTTATATAAGAAACTTAGAACAGTGTCATTTTCTCAAGGTCATTTTGTCACTAATGGTTCATAGATCAGTATTTTGGAATACAAGACAAATTTGCGAAACGTATCTAGAATAGTAATATTTATTATCTTCAGATACTTACACTGGTGGTATTAGTTATAATACAACATATAAATATCTCAGACAGCATTACTTTTTGAGTCACTTAGAGAGTAATAAAAAGGCTTAAAAGCCAATGAATATATTATATTCTGATCATTTATAGATAAATATTCATAGAGACAGTACAAAAAGAATTTATTAGTACATTGTGAAAGGAGTTACCAGGAAAGAGTGATGTTAATCTGTTAATCATGGAATCTTCTTGTTCCTTTTTTAGGAGAAAGGAAAGAAAAGCAAAGGGAAGAAGATGAGGCAAAAACTATAAAGTCCTCACTGCTACCTTTGAGGTCAAAACAGCTGCTTTCATTGACTCTGGTGTCCATGTGTTTTGCTTAAATTTTCAGTGGAGAGACTAATGTGTAAGTGCATCTGCAGGGAGAACTGGACCTGTGCTATCCTCCTCTTGTCCCGTTTCCTTGGCTGGAGGGCAGTCCAGACAAGGAAGAACAAACCTGGCTGACCACGCTCACCCTTCAGACAATACTTTGGAATCTCACCAAAAGAGCTCTTAGTGATTTTCAGAAAGGTGGCGTGTGCTGAACACCACTCCCCCATCTATGTCTCATAAAGAAATACAAGATAAAAACCCTTAAGGTTTGTTTGTTTGGTTGGTTTTGCTTTTGGTTTTATAAGACAGCGTCTCACTATATATTCGAGGTTGGTCTTGAACTCATTGTGTAGCCAGGGTTGCCTTGAACTTGTGATGATCCTCCTGCCTTAGCCTCCTAAATGCTGGAAATACAGGCAAATGCCATCATTCCCTGGTTAAATTTGGTTTTTATACGCTTGTCCATAGTGCTGTAATTCACACAAGAGTAAAGGGGCCTTGGCATCTTTTTTGAGTGCAGGAAGATTTTTTACACCTCCCAAATGGGTCGCCGTCTTTTTTTGAATTTCATTTTATACATTTTTCTGAATATTTTTTATAAATAGTTGGTTGAATCTTTTTTTGGCAGAATCGGGGATTGAACTCAGGCCCTTGCACTTGCCAGGGAAGAGCTTATTCTACTGAGCCATCTCCCCGGCTCCATGTTGACTGAATCTGAAGACACTAAACCAGCAGATAGTGAACGTGGAGGTATGAGGGACAAACCATATACTGGACAGCTTATAAAATTCAAAGATGAGAATCAGGAAGGGGGTGGTCTGAGTACAATCAGGCTCCCATGGGCTAAACAATGGCCAGTTGTGAACAGATGCATAGGGAGGCAAGAGGAGAACTGAAAGAAGATGCTGTTTTCATCAGAAATAACCAGAGTATTAAATAACAGAGAAACCAGGCAGAGTGGTGCATCCCTGTAGTCCCAGCTACTCAGGAGACTGAGGCAGGAGGATTGAAAGCTTGAGTCCTGCCTGGGCAGTTCAGCAGGACCCTGTCTCAAAATAACAATTGAAAAAGGATGGGATAAAACTCAGTGCTCCCCAGGTTCAGTCCCCAGTGCTGTCCAAAACAAAACATCAAATCTATGAAGAAGGAATACAGTGGGGAAACGGCTCGTCATGTTTTTGAATATTTAGAAATAATCAAGATCAGTTTCCAGGGTCAAGTACTCTTGACAAAAACACTTCTTTATGCAAGGAAATCATTTGAAACTTTAAAGATCTATCAACAAATAGCAAGCTGTTGAACAATGGCTTATTGTGCAATACTTAACTATTAATACTCATTGTATGCTCATTACATACAAGGTACACCCCTAGTTTCTGGGATACCAGGAGGAAGTTTCTAAGATGAGTAGGTACCTACCTTGAGGAACATATACATTAGTAATCTGTAGGAGGTAAACCAAGCTGCAATAAGTAGGTCTATCTAGCATAAGGACTTGAACACTTGTTTAAAGAACAATCATAGACTCATATTGCTATTATTTCCGCTAAAAAAATTAGTGGCCTTCTTTTTTAAAAGGTATATCCTATATGAGGTACCCCAACAATTCTTAATTTGGACTAAATCTGCAGTCAGCTGGATGTCCTCAGGTACATTGTGTACACTGATCACTATAATCGAGTTTCAGCTGAAGAACTTCCACTGAAATTTCTTGTGTTTCTGTTTTTTACTGGAATTTTATGGACATAACCAAGGGAAACAGGTAGAGGCAGATTAATTCTTAAGTGCTACAAGTATGCTTTCCTTCATTATTTTCATAATTAATTTTGAAAAGCCTGGGAGAAAAAGAGGAGAGGAGGTTGGGAGGACACCAGCAGGTGGCGCTTGTTTCTTTTAAGAAAATGCTAAGATTTGTTTTCAACCAAGAATTTCGCAGGAATTAAGGGGCAACTAGCAACAGGGGTCACAAGTGACACAGAGCATGCCACGCTGACATGCTGAGACCATGAATTCACAATTTTCAGCCTGATGCTTTCGTCATCACACTTCTCCCGAAAAAAAACTCTGATTTTTTTTTTTTTTCCCTTGATCGCCAGCCACGTTTCCCCAAGCCATCAACCTATAGGGACCATAAGGCTTTGGGTAAAGAGCAAAAACAAAGACCCTAGAGAGATGGAGATGAAGCTTTGGGAAAGGAGTGAGACTATCAGTCTCCCTGCTGGTCCACCCGTGGGTGACAGATGTTCCCTGACACCTCCAGACCTAGGCCGGGGCATTCACCCTGGGTCATGCATGACGGAACGGGAATGCTGCGCCCCACGGGACAGGAAGCAGCACGATGGTACTGGCAGTACCTAAGTAAGCTCAGCTCAGGCTGGGCCCTAATGACTCGCTGGGTGACTGGCTTTCTAACCTCTTCTAGCACAAACCAAGTTGGGACTCACTCAGTCATAGCCAGGCCCTCTCCTTTTTTTGGCCTTCTCCTTTATAGGACAAAGTAGTCTGTCTACCCTCCCCCAACAAAATTAAACTAAACAAAACCTCCCAAACGATCCCTTTTCAACATCCTTCCTTCCTGGGTCTGTGGCTTTCTACTGTGGGTTGCCAATCCCACACAGCCACAGTGTGTTTGTCAGTTCATGCTGGTAGTCTAGTCCTGGAGCCTACGCCAAGGGGCGACCACTTAAGAGTCTGAAATTCGAATCCAGAGCCACCTCTGCAGCAAGAACTTTAAATAAGTTTCTTAATTACTTTCTGTATTCAAGGGAAGCAGTAGTTCCATTTAGGGGCGCATGGATTCAAAGAGAGAATTTACGGATACCACCTAGATCGGCTCCTGATCCGCTGTAAGCGCCCAAATGCGAGGTGCGGGGTGGGTCCGTGGGGCTAATCCAGTAGTGAAGACTGCCTCGCGGGGGGCTGTGGTCAAACCTTCAGCGTAATTCTCCTCCCCGTGAGCTCAGTGTACTACAAATTTCATGCGTTGCCTCGCCTAAAATCTAAAATTCCCTGTGCCCTAAAACCTCCTGGGCGGATCGGGAGTCTCGCTGTAAGGCACCAGAGGCGGCGCGCGGCTCGGATTTCGGGGCGGATTGCGGGGCTCGGGCGGGACGGACTCGCGGGGGCAGGAAGAGGAGAGCAGGCGGCGGAGGAGGGGAGAGCGGAGAGGAGGGCGCGCGAGGAGACACATGCGCGCTGCTGCCGCCGCGCCGCAGTCCGCCGCCGCCCGGGGACGGGAAACCTCGGCGGCCGAGCCTCGCTGCCGCTCCGAGCGCTCCGGCGGCCGCCGCCGCTCTCCCGCGTCCTCCGGGCAGGCTCTACGGATCCAGCCGAGCCGCGCGCTCCCCGCCAGGGACGGCCGTGACCTCCGCAGGAGCGGCGGGGCGGGGCGGGGGGCCGGGAGAAGATGGCGACGCCGGGGAGCGAACCCCAACCTTTCGCCCCTGCGCTCTCCTTGGCGACCCTGCACCCACACCACCACCCACACCACCACCACCACCACCACCTCCACCACGGCGGGGCCGGAGCCGGCGGCGGCGCGGGCAGCGGCGGCAGCGGGGGCTTCAACCTGCCCCTGAACCGGGGCCTGGAGCGCGCGCTGGAGGAGGCGGCCAACTCCGGGGGGCTGAACCTGAGCGCCCGGAAACTGAAGGAATTCCCCAGGAACGCTGCCCCAGGGCACGACCTCTCGGACACGGTGCAGGCCGGTGAGAGGCCGGGGCGGGCAGTGGGTGTGTGCTCGGGCGCTGTCGGCGGGCTGTCGCGCCTTCCCCGACGCGGTGGCGGGCGGCGGGCTGGGGGCGGGCCGCGGCGGGGCTCCTTGGACCCGAGGGAGAAGCGGGGCCGGGAGGGTGCGGGGGTCCGTCCGGCCCCGCGGTGCCGCGCCAGGACGGCAGGGATGCGCTCGGGCCCCGGGGAGGAGGCTTGGGGCTGGGCTTGCGGGCGCGCACCGTGCGCCGGCGCTGCCACCTTTCCAGGCTGCCTTCCTGGGCCTCGCGCGGGCCGGAACCGAGCGCCCACATCCGCGGCTGCGCCCCGCACCGGGCAGACCCTCTGTATGGGGGCGACGCTCGTGCGGATGGGGAAGTCAGACAAAGGTGGCACGCCCTCGCCCGACCCTGGGGCATCGGCGCGATCTGGCACCTCCGCGCCGCCTGCGAGGGCTGGCGAGCCTTCCTCTTCCTGCGCTTGTGGAGGGAGCCGAGAGCCCCCGCGGTTGTCGTGAACCCGAGGCTGCCGGTCGCTTCGGAAGCGATTGATTACCGCCTGCCTTGCTTTTGCCCACCACCCATGCAGTTTGGTCCTGTCGCCAACTACCTGGTCTTAGGAACTCGACCTTTGCGGGGGCCCTGGAGGGGAAGCATGGACCTAGTGAAAGAAAAGTAATTAAAGCGAGCCGGTTTTCCAGCGTGAACCCGGCAAGTTGTAACTCGCGCCAATAAGCAGCCTGCTTTTTCAAGTTATGTCATGTGTTGACATATTTCCGAGACGTCTGCTTTCTCTTTGGTAGTTAGGAGTTGTAGGAGCGGGATCCATGAACAGGAAGGAGCTTGGTGGGATGGGATTTGGGCCTGGATTTCGTGCACGTCTGACTTGGGTTCCCGACTGTCCTGTTCCGCTCCCTGGGGTACGGCTTGTATCCTGGCGAGCGACCAGCATTTCCCAGGGCCGAGGGTGCTCCCATGTGGAACCATGGCCAGACCCTGTGGCTGTCATAGCGTCCTGGGCCTGTGGCCAGAACCCTGGATCCTGGAGGTCTTCAGCCTCCACTTAGAACCTTGCAGTTTCCTCCTATAGAGGAGGAAGGGGGCGGGGCAAGGAAGCCAGTGGTGTTAGGTTTCTAGTGCCACATATTCCCTATAATTCACTAGACACTTATCTGAGCCCTAATGAATAGAGTTCTGAGTTCACGGGAACAAGAAGGTCCCAGGGTCAGTAAACTTTGTCATTTGGATTTGTGGATGGTCTGGTCGGGAATGGGCAAGAAAAAGGGAATTTCCAGAGTTAACAGCTGGGGAGTCTCTGTTGATAGGAACTGTTGGTGACATCTCAAGTAAGAGCTTTTCCAAGAATTGCCTGAATCATTAACTTAAAAAAAATATGTTAATAAAGTCTACTTCCCCTCTGCCTTTAAGCACATTCTGAATTGGGCAGGATTGCAGAAAACAGCTGGCGGGACCAGTAATCATGTTTGTACAGTTCAGTAGTGGGGCTAAGAGCTGTTCCTCTGCTTCAGGTAGGCTGATGATTATTTCTCAGTTAGGTGAACTTGGTGTGTCCACTGTATTGGCGTTTCTTGAAGACGACCAGTGCTTTAAAAGCAGAGTCACGTTTTTCAGTTATGACTGCCATGTGAGGTGGATGCTTAAAAATGTTTGTTCCTGTTCTCTTCTCTGCTTGCTTAGGCTGTGAGTTTTGCTGGTTTTTCATACTGAGTTTTATTTGACCATGTATAGTGTTCATACAGTTCTAATTAGTTAAAATCCAGAAGCTTAATGTTAATTCCTCATCCCATAACACATTATTTGTGGCAGAGAGAGCAAAGGAACTTACTGAGACGGAAGGGGTCTGGGGAAGGAAGTAGGTGATTTTGCAGGAAGCAGGTATATCCCAAAAGAGAGAAAAGGGTATTGAATGTAGCCAGTTATTTTACATGACATTTGATGTGCATTTTACGTCCTTTTTATGGGGCCCAATTTTATACTTCAATTTATTACTGTCAGAGTCACTGTGCTCTTGTTAATGTCAATAAAAAGCAGCCCGTGCATTTATAAAACACAGATATTACATCTGTCCTAAACCTCTTCTTATTCATCCTGCAAAATTTACCCATTATGGACCCATTTCTCCCTCCAACTAGAGTGAAAACTTCCCAGGAATGATACAGGGATTCTCTTTTGTGTGTGTTAAAAGATTTGCTTTTAGAAAATACGTTTGAGGTCAGAAGCTAGGTGTAAACCCTTAGGTATTTTGTTTGTTCTAAATATTTAGTTGAGCATTGCTTCTCATTCCTAAGGGCAAAACAAACAGACAAACAAACAAATGGTTAAAATGACTGCCAGCATAGGTAGTATGGACAATTTCTACATTTTAAGAGAGCTAATGATGTTCAAAGTTAGACAGTAATATGTACATTAAAGATAGTGGTTGTTCCTGTGCTCATATTTAGACTACTGATCTCTCTTAAAATCAGAATGGCGTGTGAAGATCCTTAAAAAGATTTTTTTATAAATTTTGCAAGATAGTGACGCATATCAGAATTTTTCTCCCTGTTTATTTTTATCACACAGGTCATTTGGCTTATGACTTTTAAAAAGTAATTCTTCTGGCAGTTGCCTGTGCAGAACTGAACTCGTGGGCAGTGTAGTGTGTCTGAAATGAGGTGAAGGCCAAGAGGAAGCACAGAAACACAGAAGCCCTGAGCTGCTCAGGGGGAGTCTAAGCTCCAGTGCTCCAGTGCTCATACTTTTATTTGTAGGAAAAAGTGCTCAGGCTCTTCCTTTGAGCCCATTGTGTTTCAGTCAGTTTTGTTGTGAGAGTTTAGTCTTTCAGTACACGAGATGGGAAAGGTACAGATGGTACTGACCCAGAGGGACAAGACAAGAAGAGCCGATTACCACATACCGCATGCCCTATGCTGTGCTAAGTACTTGACATATAATGCTGAGTGCTCCTCAGGAGCATATTCCTTCCCTCATTTGCAGACAGGCAGACTGAGATGAAGAGGAGGCAGGCAGCATGCCCGAGATGACACTTCTGTGTAGCTGTGAGCCATTTCACTCCTGAGGGAATTTATTTATCCTTCCTGTTCTCAGCTAGCTACTGTTAGCAAAGACAAGAAATGGAAAGGTCCTAATCTGGGAATCTTTCTGGAGCTTCACTTAAACCCCTGTTCCTTCTAGTATCTGTTAAGTTCATTGTGGATACCAGGGACATAGCAGTGGGAAAGAGAATCCCTGTATCACTTCGCCCTAGTTGGGGCAGGATGGGGAGATAGTGAAGAAATTAATTTTGCAGGATGAATCAGAAGAGTTTTAGGATAGATGTAATATCTTTGTCTTATACATGTATAGGCTGTGTCATATTGACATTGACAAGAGTACAGTGATAGGACTAATAAATATAAAGTGAAGCATTAAATTGGGCCCCGTATGCACATCAGGAAAGCAACCTTAATTTTTCTAGTGCGATTTATTAATAGTATCATTGGGATATAGAAGTTCAAAGAGATGCTTACATGGTTGAAACAAACAGGAGTGAAAAGAGGAATAAATAAGGGAACGAGTCTGGTTACGTGAGGAATGGCTGGAGTGTGTCATTGTCAGTATTTTTTTTGTCTGTGCATGTATGTTTGTGGGGATGGGCCTAGGGCCTCTTATGTGCTAGGCAAGGGCTGCAACTGAAAGCTAAAGTTCTTTTCTTTTCTTTTCTTTTTTTTTTTTTTAAATGCTACTTTGACAGCATCTCACTAAGTTGTCAAGTCTGGCCTTGAACTTGCAATCTTCCTGCCTCTATCACCTGAGTGGATGGAATTACAGGTGTACACTACCACACCTGGATGTCAGGATCTATCAGCAGACTGTGAGAAATAAAAGAGCTTTTCTAGGCAGGAACAAAAACAAAAGGCATAAAAAGTATGCCTTGAATGAGGGTGTGATTTTTTTTTTTTTTTTTCAGTGCAGGGACCAAACCCAGGGCTTCACATAGGCTAAGTGAGTGCTCTACCACTGGATGCTCTGGCCATGAATACGTAGTATTTGTATTTGAGGGTGAGTGCTGTAAATGCAAATAGTAAGATGAGAAGATACATGAGAAGCTGAATAACAATTCCAGGAAACCATTAGGACTAGAATAGTGTTGATATGCTAAATGTTTCTTTAGAACAAACAGACTGCATATGGTTCATACCCAGCTTCTGACCTCAAAGATATTTTGCAAAAGCACACTTTAGCTTACCACTTCAGAGGTAACAATCCTGTTTGTGAAGATGCTTAGGAAAGACTTCCATGAGGGAGGCAGGATTTGGAGCAGGTTTTATAGGATGGATATGATGAGGTAGACATGCCCGTGAATACTTTGTGGTTGGAAAGACGGTTCTAAGATGTGGACTGAAAACCCATCGCTAAGATTCTAACCTTTTGGGAATAAAAGAGAAGACACTGACGCCTGTCCCCTGGTCATGTCCTCCCGCAGCACTCCCACTGTACCATGGGGTAACAGCACTGGGCTCCTGTGGCCCTTTGCTTGAGGACTTTGTTTGGAAATGGCTGAGGCCTGGGATTTGTCAGCCTCTGGGAATAACTCCCTGGCCTGGCTGGCCTTGCTCTCTCAAATGTCGTTAGCAGTTCAGATGCTTCTCTGGGCTTTGCGGGGATCGATCCTTCCCTGCTCAGGACTGACTTCTCTCATCCTGCTCTCCCCTCCAGGCCGAGAGAGTCCTTGATGATTAACCTTTCGGCTCTCACTCATTGGAATTCATACAGTCCTTATTGAAGAAATTATACATTTTTGATAACATGCTCTGTTCTGTAATTATGGTCATAAAGATTTTCCACATTAAATATAATGAAACTTGTGAAATCAAATGTGTTTTCTGAAACCTGTATTCTAAGTATATCCAGTTTTGAATTATTTATCTATTGTTGATTTAAATTCATTAGAGGTAACTGTCATTTTTTGTGGTAGGCAATCATATAAATGTCTTTAT